TAAGTTTTCATATCCATATAGCTGAAATTGAAGAAAAATATGATATCACATATTGAGAAGTAATAAATAGTCCAGGCATACATGTGTTCCCAAAAACTCCCCTTGCTTACAAATAGATTGGCCTGGTTCGCATTTTGACCATCAATTAGTTGGTTAAAAGTTTCGCTGCTTTTGGCAACCCTTTCAATGCGGTTTCATTAGTGGCCAACTGAAATGGATCGAGAGCTGTGTAGCTGGTACTTTTATTTTTTTATTCAATCTTCGTTTTTAGCGGTTTTCTTTTAGCACTGCACTGGAAAAACTTGGCCGGTGCCAATTTTCTGTAGAAAAACTTTTCCGTCGCATTCTTCCTTTTGTTGCGTATAAATTGCTGTCAATTAGTTTAATTGTTTTTCTTGGTGTTTTTTGTTGCGTCTCCTTATGTTCTCTTCTCGATTTTGCTATTTTTCTGCTCTATTTGCTTGATTTCTTTTGATGACTATTATTGATAAGTTGTGCAATTGTTTTGCAACTGTTGTTAATTGCAATCAGCCCGAGACCAATAAATACCGACTGACCATGAGTTTTTAATCATCATTCATTCTTAATGTTTCGATTGCAAAGATGCAATCAACAATATTTGTATTGCACAAAAGAATTTTATTTGCAAATAAATATTTGTATAAAATGCTTTAAAATTGCGAGTAAATCGAATGTGAATTTGTTGCTCGAAACTCATGTGGAAATGCCATTTGAAAGCATTGTAGCAGCAATTATTTTTATTAATATTGATGATGTGCTCCGCACGGCGGCGTCTTGTGGAAGCTGTGCTCCGCAATATATCTTTGTCAACTCTGGCAAGCAGGAAAAAATAAATAGCTAAAGCAACTACTAATGATGCGACCACAAAGCTCTCCGCTAGACGTAGAGGTAGAGCAGACATAATGTCATCAAGACTGAGAAGATAAATTAATTATTAATTTACAAATACATATGCTTAAAAAATAATAATAATTTTAAGAAATTAAAAAAAATTGTCTAAAAAAGAATATATGTATATATAATCAAAATAATTTCATAGCTTTAACTTAAAAAAAAAAAAAAAAAAATAAATAAATTAAAAAAAAATAACTTTAAGGATAAATCATAAATTAAAAAAATAATTAAAAATTAATAATAATCAAAATAAAGAAATAAATTTACTGAAAGATCTGTATTTATTTTGCGATAAATGTATTTAAAGCAAATAAATTGATAAAAAAAAAACATAAATATTTGGTAAAAATTATAAATACCACAAATCGTTATAAAGTCATAAGCAAACAGAAAAAAAGCGAACATATTTCTGACTGTGAAATACTCTCTACGTAAATCCCCAGCTTAAAATTTGGTCCACGCTCTTGATGGGCTAAAGAGCCAGAGCAACCAACAGGACGTAAGCTCAAGTACTTAGTGACACACAATAATAGCATAAATCCTAATTAAATCCCAGCCAAAAAGATTTAAAGAATTTATGTGCTACCTTGAAATTTATTTTTTGTTTTCCTCCAGTGATATACTTATAGCAGATTATGCAACATTTTGTCTTTAGGCATATTATAAACAACTTTTTCCTTTGCGCTAGTCCTCCTAACGCTAATTAGAAAAGTTTTGTAAGTAACGCTTAGCTCAACTCTGACCAAGTTGATTGATGGAAAATATGAATAAGTTAACAAAATAAGAGGGAAGCAAATATGGATCAGGCAGCTGCAACAATTTCGAATCGCCTTGAGTTACATTAATTGGATTAATAATATGCCTTGACTGACTCCTGTGCATATAGAGTTTCCCATTTGCAAGTCGGATGCGAACACAATCTTTGGTTGTTTTACTAGTTTGAAGCAAACTATCCACTTAACATTTTCACTGGCTGCAATTTCCATTGTGCAATTGGGATATGTGTGGGAATACATGTTGTGTGAGTGTGTGTGTGTGTGTGAACTTTGTCCTGCCCTGCAGACATTTTCTTATTCCTGCCCTCTCTCTCTCTCGTTCGCTCTCTCATATTAACATAATATAACCCTCAACGAGGGCCTCGAGCTAGAGCGCAATAAAAGTAAATACAATGAAACTAAACACTGTCCACGTCGCGTCGTCCGTCCGTCCACGATAACTGTATAACTGCGCGAAATTCCACAGCTTGTGTGTTCATAAAAGGGGCATAAACGTTTTTATGGCCTTTGGCCCTACGTTTATTTGAGTATGTATGCATTCATATTACATACACACATATATACTTACGTATACACATAGTACAGAAAAAAATGTTTATCTGAATTAGAGCAGTGGGAAATGCTCAGAAATTATTGTGCATTAGACAAGCTTAAAAATATGTAAAAGAAATGCATATTTGATTCGGGCTGAGCGAACGCAAAAATATTTCAAGTGACTTTAACACCATATACATGTATATATGTATGTATGTATGTATGTTTTATATATATTTGAATTAAAATTCCTTAACAAGTACTCGAAATTTCAAAGTATTTTGCACATATCTATTAAATTTACAAGTACAAACATATAAAGTTTTCATTTAGAAAGGATAGTTTGCATAGCTGGTTACTAGATTCTAATTTTTTTTAAAATAATTTATTATGCGTTTAGTTATGATTTTATATTTATTTATTCTTTTTTCTTAATCTAAAATATTTATTTATAAAATATTTAATATCACATTTGGCTATATCTCAAATTAAGAAGTTAAACTGTGACAATGACAAAAATATTTGAATTATTATCCAAGAAAATTAATATTATAAAAAATCAATTAATTCTGTTTCGTACCGATGTACTATAGACATTGCTTTAATTATAAAAATAAAATATATTACTGTAAAGTGTTTGTTCAGCTTTCAGGGTATTTTGTAGTCAATCTGTTCCCTCTGGATTGCTTGGAGATACATTTCTTTTATTTTATAGGTATAATATGCACTTCATGTATTTCGTTTAGAAGAGTAGAACTTAGCTAAGAGTTTTATCCAACTGAAAAGTTCGCCTAAACGATAACGCACGACAGTTCCGTCAAATGCAGAACAAAGCCACAAAAAGTTGAATGCAAACTTTAGCATATGGAAGCCGCTCTGTGATTATGTCAATATAACTAAATGCAAGAAAATAAAGTTGCTTAAAATGTGAGCTATGTGTGTACATATATAAAATATATAATAGGTATGTATATTTAAATAGTAGAAATAAATATGATATATGTATGCTTAACATAGAATGTAAAATACATACAAAAACTGAAGTAAATAAGATTTATAGTTTAGATAAAATAATTTAATTCATTTAATTACTCTCTATGTTTGATAAATTCTCTTCATTTCATAGCCAAATTATTCTATCCTGTATTCTTATACTTTTTCACGAATGTTCACACAGCAGTGCTGCATAAATTCAAGTTGAACTCAGATATAAATTTCTCCGGTTTGTTATCTAAAACAAATGCATTATTTGCTATCTGTGTTCGAGTTAAATGTTTATGTTCGGCCAGCAAATTGCTTTAAATTTGTTGGTCAAGTGCATTTAGTCGAGCCGAACAACTAAAATAAACCCGCTGCTGCTGCTCCTGCTGCTGCTGCTCCTGTGAAACTTTACAACTGAAACTTCTGCGTTTTATTTAGTTTGTGGTTGCTTGGCAAGTGTTGCAACCGGCTACCGAATTTATGTGCAACACTTGCAACACTTGCCACACTTGTTACACACACACACACATGTATACACACATGAGACATGTGGAACGTGTGCGCGGAGTTGAAGACAAATCGTTTGCTCTTACAGTGCCACATCTCATGCTGCACAATCAAGACCTTTCACATAATTTATTGATCCTTTTGTGCCCAGCCAGGTGAATGCTCTTCAATTTAATCAACGGCACGTGTTTGTGTTTACTAAGCAATCAGAGAGACAGAAAAAACCCAAAGAATTCGATAATTAAAACTGTTTGTAAGAATTTGAAAAAAAAAAAAAACAAAATTATATGAAACTAAAAATCTGACATTTAGTAATAAGAAAAAAATGAAGAATTTTATAGCTGTTAAGAATTTTGTTGTGATGAAATTGAAAGTAGATATAAATATTATTACATTCTAATATAAATATTCATTTCTTATTCATTATACATTTCCTTTAAAACTATATTCCATTTCTAGAAGCACTTAAAATATCAAGTATCAACGCATACAAAGAGCAAATCACTTAAATTATTCATGTTTCAGTATCACATTTAAGTGAATTAATTAATTCTCTAATATTTTTCCACTTGCAACTTTCAATTAAGCTCTTAGGCAAACTAATGCATTCAGTTCGCTGACTTCGTTAACTATCCGCGCCACGCAGCTCATCTTAGCCACATTTGTTCACGTGGCTGGCAGAGCTCTAAATCTTTAAAACCTATTACATGGAATGCATTAGGCTGCATAAATATCTGCTGACTGTAACATAATTCAGAGCCTGGCAAAAGACATTACTGGCACACACGAGAACAGACAAAGCGAGCGAGTGAGAAAAAGAGAGAGAGAGAGAGAGGGGAGAGAAAGAGGGAGATTCATTCGAGTCCTTGGGAACTATGGCTGATTTTGTGCTGCTATCTTTTTGCTTTCAGAATCTTCGACACTTGGTGCTTTGTTGCGAAATGCGCTTGGCTTTCATTTTAGGCTCTAAATTCACACACACACACACACACACACACATACATACATATGCACACATAGGAAATGTGGCAGGCTTCTTGGCACAGCTCTAAGTTTACAAAGCGACTGCAGCTGAAGCGTGTGTGTGTATGTGTGAGGCTGTGTGTGTATGTAATGTGTAAGTAATGTAAATTCCGGCTTTAACTTTACAGTGAGAAACGAAAATTTGTCGATTGTCAGAATTTAAAATATATATTTATTTGTAATATATTTATTTATAGAAACTTAACAATAATTTCGACCTATAACAATCAAGAGAACTAATATACATATATATTTATATAATTCACATATATATTTATACAAATTGTTATTGGTTTTTACACTTTATTCACATTGAGCTGTAGTCAAATCAAATAAAATTAGATGAATGCCTCTTCATCCAGGACACCGACATCAACATCTGTGCAGATCTGATCGCCGCTCACTTTGGCCGCTTTGGAGGCATTGGGAATGCTCGTCAAAACGTTACCGGAGGCCCCCACGGGGAGGAAGTGAGTCGACTTGAGACGCCTGAACAATAAGGATCGCGCTGGGTATACCCTGTAGAAGCAGTCAGCAGCTGTGCCCTATGAGGTACGCCTCCATGGCCTCCATGCGATGGTATTGCGTTATATTACATTAGTTAGTAGTTCATTTAATTCAAATCATACATTAGCTTCTCAGCATTGTTTGGTTCCTCGCAATCGAATGAAGCCATCATGAGCTCTGGAAGAACAAAAGGTATTTTTTTTTTATTAAATATATAATAGGAGGATTCAGATAAATATTAATAAGAATTTGAATTTCATTACGATTAAATAATAAGTTTTTTTATTTTTAAGTTATCTTTTTATTATTTATTATTATTAAAATAAAATTAAATTCCTAGAATTTAATTAGAATTATAAAACTGAATTATATTTTAAGTCAATTCAAATATGAATATAATATGGATAGTTCAGCTACATTTTAGACCATTTTTGACTTTCATTAAAAATGATGTGAATTAAAATTCAGGGTTATTTCAGGATATTATTATTATTATTATTATTATTATATAATATAATTATTATATTATATTTGATTATTATATAATATAATTATTATATTATATTGTATTATATTATATTATATTACATTATTTTATATTAAATATATATAATATTTTGTTTTATTATATTACCATAAACGTGACTTATTTTTTGCCAAATAATGCAGAATGTGTGAAAATAATAATAAATTCAGAATAAATCAGTTTGGCTTATATGAGCACATTTTGCCTCGATTCAGATTGAAGAAATGAAGCAGAAGCTACCTGAAAGTGACTTGCAGATATTTTAGCCCACTCACGCACTGTGTCGAGGCAGGTGTTGAGGTATGGAATAACACATTAGTTAAATATATATAATCATTTCTTTTTCAATAAGACAGAGCTGAAGACATTCTAGATCTATATAGAAAATCTGTAGACATTTTAGTGCCCTACAACTCAGCTTATAAGATATCTATAGATCTGCATTCATTGACTCTCTGATGCGCTATATATATGTAGCTCTGGATACTCTAAGCCAATGTAGAGTAAGCAGAGGTAATGTACAATAAGAAGAAGTTACATTATTGCCTATTAGAAACTGTTTCGAGACAAATCCTTCACCTATATTAAATCTAGACTTCTTTCTTTAACCAATCCCTGTAAGACTTTCGGCTAGTAAGCTCAAAGTGTTTCTCGTCAAGTGCATGACAGGGTATACAAAGCAATTTCATACACACTTCAGAACTTGTCTAATCGTCCCAAATATATGTATTTAGTTTTAGTAAACGGCCAACAAGCGCCGCTTGACCCGAGCTGACTGTGGGTCGCCCCGTGCCTTGTTGACTTGCGGTCAAGTGTTTTAGAGCAGTGGCCAAAGAAACCGGGCTTGTAACATTTTAATAGAAAAACAAAAGAACGCCAAAAAAACATGGTTTAATAAAGTTACAACAAACTGGCAACGGGCCAAAATATATATGTATATATATAAAAAAAAAAAAACGATGAGAGATTGAAAGATATGTGCCTCGAGTGCGTTGAGTGTGTGTGTGTGTGTGTTGGCTGAGTGTTATGCGGCAAAATGTGGCAGCCATGTCCAATTCACACCATGAGACCATTAGAATACTGCAAAGCGCCTGCTTGTTGGTCAGCGTTGGTCAACAGATGTGTTCTTGACTTGCCACAGAATGCCAGAGCCGCTCGCCTTCCTCCTCTCTCCACTCTACTCTCCCTCAAGCCTCTCCCCTTTGGCCACCATGACTCTTTACGATTTGAGCCCGCATTTTTAGTATGCTACAGCACAATACGCACATGCTACGAACAATACAAAAAAAATTGAGAGAGAGAGAGGGAGAGAGGGAGGGAGGGCAGGAGAGTGCGAGAGCGAGAGAAAAAAAGGGCTGCCCTTGTTTGTGAAAGGATTAAAGCGTTGGTTATGCTATCTACTACTTTTTCCTTGTTCAGTTTTAATAGAGTCGTGTGGGTAAATATTTGTGCACCTCCTTCGTGCGTTGAGGATTTTGTGAAGCGTTTTGTATTGTAGCCGCTCTGGTTTTTGCACACACACACACACACAGAGATACATATCCCCTATGTATGTGTGTACTCTTCACGAATATTTTGAGTGTTGGGCCTAACAAGCGGCTCTCCGAATGGTCAACAGCAAGTCGAACAAAAAAAGTAACACAATTTTCCTGTTGTTCAGGTTTTTTTGTTTTGCCTTTTTTTTTTGTCACTAGCTTCTCTTAGCTGGTCGTAGGAAAGACCACAGCCTGATTGCACTACGGCTGCAAATGAAACCACTTTTGATTAAGAATTGTCCCAATAAATTTGGCTACTGATTGGCTAGCCAATGCACTGTTGATTTTCTGTTGAATTCGAAAGACATAAAACTGCATAATTAAAGTGTTAATTTGTTGATTGTTTACTCATAGTGCAGAATGCAATTGTTGTGCCAGCAGCTGCCTGCCATTTATTTTGCATAAATTAAATTAAGCTTAGCCGTTTTAATAACCAGGTTTGATTGCTCTTAGATGACTTGACGTATGCCAGGCTTAATTCATCAGATTGCAGCTGAAGCTTATCATAAATAACAGAGCATTGAGTAGCTCAAAGGCGTCACATGCACTCTCTACATAAAGGCGTTTAGCTTGTAAGTAATTAAAGCAATTGTATTATTAAAGTATAATATGAGTGAACAGATTCCACACACTTTACAGTAGACACAAATTAATGATTTAAAATTACACATACAACGATAGACATACATATGTATGTATGTATATTCAATGAGGCGAGTGTTTCAAGTGAAGTGATGCAGCCCTTTAATATTCACAAACATACATATATAAATGTATATTCAGATACATCTACATACCTACAATTATGGAAACATTTATGTATGCATATACATACATACATATATGTACATATACTATAAATATATATATGGCATACATACATATCCGTACATAAGTGTTTTTCACCTGATTTTCCGTTCTTAAAGTTTATTTACAATATAATACAAAGTACATCTATTCAATGAAAAGTGAATTTGCTTTATTTATTTCTGTTTACCAGACTAGGTGTAGTTATAAAAAATTTCAAGATGCTGAATGGCTCAATTAATAGAGGTTAAATATTTTCAAATATTTTATCTTTAGTATATTCTGCCTTATGGCCACTAATATCAAGTGTACGTCTCGGTAAACTATCGAAATACATATATGCATATATGTACATTTATATATACCTATGTACATAAATATATATAATATGTATGTAAACACTGGTAGACATACATATACCCTTACATGTACATATACATTCAGATATACATATTCATATGCACCCATACATATAAGTGAATACATTCATGCCTACAAATACATACAGATGTATGTATATATGTGTAATATGTATGTGTGTAATATGTATTACACCTACATCTACACACACACACACATACATGCTCACACATTCATATAACACCATTTATACCTCGCTCTATGCTAGGCTGCCTAATGACATAACCGAAACACACGCACTCACACACACACACACACCTGCTCCTCTATGGAACTGTATAAATTAGTTGAATTTAACTAGAATCTAGTTTTCTGCTCTGTTCAGTTCTCCTTTTGCGGTTAGTGAGCAGGCAATTTGCTGTTGTTGCTATTGTTACTATTGTTGTTGTTGTTGTTGTCTGGTCTGTGGCTTGTTTGTATGCTGCATGAATAATGTCTTTCATATTTGGCCAACAATTGATTGGGATGATTGTAATGAAAGTTCAGTGTGCCTGACCTTACCGAGCGAGTGTTAAATGGCTTCTGGCGTGACATTTTATGTGTGCGCATAAAATTGTCATATAAATTGCCATTAAATTTTGAGCATTTAACAAGGCCAGCACCATATATATTTATATGTATATATGTATTCCTGTTGAGCATTTCATAAGTGCAGTTACAATACTTGAATATTTCAATTTGAAATTCCTTGGCGCTGTTAAGGCAAACACACATTATTCATTTCTCTCGCTCGGCAAACGTTTTGCTGATTCATTTTGCTCAGCTTTGGTATTTGCTAAATTCATTTAGTTCTCACAGACCTTCAGCTCGCATGGGCTGCTGTCCCTGGATAACCTTAAGGCAGCCAAAGGCTGCTTGACATTAAGCAATGTAGGTGTGTGTGCATGTGTTTGTCTCTCTCTCTGTGTGTGTGTGTGTGTGTGTCAGCAGGATATGTGCCGGCACGTCCGACGTTAACGCCCTTCAGACTGACAGTTGTTACAACAGACAGGCCTCCAGCCAGCATGCCGTGGGTCTGACCAAAGGAAAGCCTCTAGATGGCTTTCATGTGGCAGCTGAAGATTTTTCCCTTTTTTTCGAGCCCAACTCAAACCAAGCTGCAAGCTGATATACAATCCTGCTCGCATATCCTTAAATTGTGGCATAAATATATATATATATTTAGTTTTTTGAGGACAGTAATTAAATTTGCTGGCACACATAAAGTTTTCGTTGAAGGCAATTTATTTGTAAAACAAAAACATATTGTTTCTGTGTAATTTCTTATCAGAACATTGGATTTTTATTTATGGCCTTAAATGCTTGAGAAAATCCAATGAAAATATTCATTACAAAGAGCTTACACTTGGCACATGGTAAAAATATTGTTATATATTTTATATAATTTGTCCAGTTCAGAAAAGTTTTTTTCCTATAACTTCAATTGAAATTTCTAGCATATGCGGCTGCAGTTGCTTGGTAAAATGTGGCTAAATTTATAAATAAACAGCAAAAGCTGTATATAATTCTCCGCTCAGCTGCCTTTCGGATTATCTGTGTGTGTGTGAGTGTGGGTGTAAGCTTTGTGGAATAAAAGTGGCAAAAACTACAGGTAATCCGCTTAAATCACACTCAAAGCTGGAAAAAGTTGAAGAAGCGCTACTGTAAATAATGCAATATGAAATGAAAACTGGAAATAAAATTTCGATTTTTTGTTAGCTATATTGTTGGTCTTTTATATTGAGTGCTCAGTAATTAAATTATATTCAAATATATAGTAATGAAAATTATTGTATGGGAAGTCTAAGAAATTCAGCATTCATTCGAATGAATTTTTGAAGCACTTTTGATTAAAATTAAACTCGCTCAAAAGCTACTTCAAAAGGCTTACCTACAATTAGTTTAACGCACTTTTTCACAATAAATCGTTTTCTACTCGGTTGAGTTACGGGCTTATTGCCTAGAAGATTGTATAAATAATAAAATGAAAATGAAAAAAAAAAAAAAAAATAAATAAATAAATAAAGAAGCAAAAAGATGTTAATAAAGCATCATAAAATGCCTGCAGCTTCGCGGTTTTCTAGCTGCTTGCACCTGGCCGGCTACCTGCAGCCACTTTCGGCTTGTCAATAATGCCAAGGAAGAGCCTTGAAGCTAAAGTGCATTTTCCAAATTCCAGAGCTGCGCAAATTACTTAGATAACAACGAAAATGACTTGACTGCAAAAATATTTATTTATAGCGAGCAGCAGCAGCAGCAGCAGCAGGAGTAGCAGGAGCATTTTGAAGGAAAAAGTGCGCTCTAAACGTGACAGCAAAGTTTTTAGGACGCCTTTTGCATTTCACGTCGCTGACGTTGACTTCAAGTATTCGGCGTAACTTTCAAGTTAGAGGACACTTTTGGATTTTGTGGCTCGAGCGAAACCGATTTAGAAGTTCCCCTGTTAGCTGGACCATGGCAAAAACCCAACTAGCGCAAAATAAATGACTTGGCCAGCGACAAAAACAGCTTGCTGGAGTCAAGACAAAGGACGAGTTTCAAAGATAATTTCTTATAGTAGAAGACAGTATCAGTATATATAATATTTATACCCGGTGGGCTTACCAGTTACTTTATGTTGCACGCAAAACTAAAGAGGCGAGTGAGAGGATGACGTTACAGAAACATTGGCAGAGGATCAAAAAATCACAACCGACCTTTATATTAACAATATACCTAACTTAAAAATTGTTTTAAGTATATGCTAACTTTTTTCTAATGCAAAAAATCGTAGTAAAATGATATCATAATTAAATTTAAATTTTTGAGAGCAATAAAGTACAGCCTGCAGTGCATATTTTAGTCCTGCACGCCCTCAATACTTACACCTATAGATCTTTACACAAACTCCTCTTTACAAAAATAAATCAGCATTTATTTATTTTTAGTTTCGTGACGGCATTCGCTTGAGCAAAGCTTTTGCCATAATAGCTTATGAATACTTTAGTGCTTCACTTCTTTTTTTGAGGCACATTGTTCGACTGTTTTGGTAAAGTTTTATATCTTTGCATGAACTGAAAGAAGTTTGTAAATTGCATTCACCTCACATTAAGCTGCACATCGGGCGTTTTTTAATAAACTTTTGGGCGACATGTTAAGTCTCAGTTGCAGCTGAGGCTTCGCAATTCGAAGAAAATGAGAGAGGGAAAGAGAGCGAAAAAAATCATAAGAAAAAATACAAACTGAGCCATAACTTTTCATTCTTTTGCTTGACGTTGGCAGGATGCGTTTTTGCAAAGAAGACAATTTTTTTTTGTTTTCGCCTTTTTTTTTTTGTGAACGACTTTGTTGTTTGTCGCCTGAGGCAAAAGCCTTCAAAGTATCTTACGCTTCCTGGGTTTATAATGAGTTCGGTCTATATGGACCTTTCATTTCAGCACTATGGGTCTATTTCTTCTTTTATTTTCTCTCTCACTTTTGATGTCGTCTTGCAACGACCTGTTTGTGTTTGTGTATGAGTGGGTGTCTGCGCGTGTGTGTGTGTGTGTGTGTGCATAAGCCGTGAAAAATTTCTTAACGTGCTAAGCATACTGACAGCTCAAAGAAGGATTTAAAAACTTTTTTTGCTTGTGCCTTGGTTGCAGTGCACGTGGTGTCAATGCAGTTGTTGTTGTTGTTGTTACTTATTCGCATGTCCAGCTGCATGAGCTCAAAAGACCTGAAAGACATTCCCAGTGTTTACGTATTGTGCACGAAGCTTAAAGCGCAAGGAAGACATTAATTGATATCTTTATCGTGTACTAATTTATTAATTTCCCGTTGCAGCATTTAAATTCCCTATATTTTTTTTATCAGGCACATAAATTCATAAGCTGCTTAGCAAAGAAAATCTTTTAGAATTTTCCATGAAAATTTGTTTACAGCTTAACGAGGCGAAAATGAATTGTTGTTAAAAAAGAAGGCGAATAAATGTGCGAGGCAAGCGCTGCGCGTTAAGAGAGCGAAAAGCAGCTATGAATAACGCAACCCTTTTGTGGCCATAAAGTTTATTTCTGGCATTTTATTGCGGCTATTCATACAAATTAATTAGCAACAAATTGCTGTGCCACTGGTCCTGAGGGATAGCAAATTATTGCCTTGGATTTCAAAATGGTTTTACCACAACTCTGCGCAAGCTTAAAGAGTTTGAAAATGTGTTTCAGCCCTTGCCAGGCATTATTTATAATAGTTTTAAGCCACTTGCGCTAAGTAGCTGAAAGAAATGAATTTACGAATGCAAGTGCAATTAGAGATGTGCTGGATTGAGAATTTTTATGAGTCGTGACACGAGTTCGAATGGAATAGCATCTCTAATTGGAAATGTGCAACATATAAGTTCATGCACCTCCAATTAGTGCAACGATTCTATTTGGCACTCACATAGAATTGAATTTCTAATTGGAAATGTGTAATATATAATTTCATGCGTTTCCAATTAGAGCAGCGATTCTATTGGGCAGAGCTAATATGAAGTGACCGAATATTGTGAAATTAATATCAGTTTCCCAATACGAGTTTGCCACCTGCTGCAGTAGTGTTAGTGTGAGACAGACAGCTTGCATAGTGTGTTGTAAAAATATCTGAGCTGGTTTGTGTCTTAGCTACACGTAACGTATATCTGTTTCGTATCTGCTCTGATAAAGAGAAAGAGAGAGAAAGAGACAAACATAGCTGTTGCTCATACACTATCGCTCAATCGTGAATGTTACTGAACGTAGCAGAGACTGTTGCTGTGTGAGAGCGAGATGGCTATTAGAAAATATCATTCGGCAAAAGCCAATTGTAAAAGAGAGCACACCAAAAGATTCGTGTATGGGGCTCAATTAAAATAATATTTAATTCATATGAAAAGCATATATAATTGTTAAATAGACATATTTCTAGTATAGATCTTGGCTCAATATATCAAAATACCAAAACACTTATAAAAGTACTTAAATTTCTTCTGATTACAGAATGAAATTCTTCTTATCGTAATTACATATATAATTTTCATGCATACAATTATTTAAGTTGTGCGCGTAATTTCATATAATTTTCAAATTATCACGTGCGAGCTTTGGGTCGTTCACTCTCGTTTACATTTTAATTGCCCCGCTTGTGGAATTACGCGCAATGTGCAGTGGGCCAGCTGCAGTGCATTTAGTTTTACATTTAAAAATGTAAGTAGCACACACACACACTTGTACACACTCAGCCACACACACACATACACACAGTGATGTACTCTGTTACTCACTCACTCTCCACACACATATGCTCATTCATGGAGGCACTTTTCCAGGCCACTTGAAGTCATTGCCAGTTGGCCGAGGTGCACTTAAAGTTTCCACCAAGCAAACAAAAACAAACTAAAATGCCGACTTGAGCCCGTGGAAAATGTGAAAAATGCGATAAAGCACGTGGAAAGTGCAAAGAATAAAATGTGCAGAAATAAGTAAATGAAAAAAAAAAGCGAGGGGAAAATGTTGCCTAGCGCTAGGTTTGATTTACAATATTACTTACCCGCTTCGCTAAGTTTCGTAGTTCGCTGCATATGGGTGCAGAAGTGCTCGTACTCGCCGCTAGATGGCGCCTGTGTCGATTTCATTGCCTGCATGTGCTTGGTAAAGGCGCCGACAATGGCCGCCATTCGATCGAAGGCAATCACATTGATGTGGCCATTCGGTAAGCTGAAAAAGAGGAAGAGCGAGCGAGAGAGAGAGAGAGAGAGAAGGGGATATTACATTTGCTACTATAGTATGCAAAACTGTTAGAAATATATGTGTAAGGCGCGAGAGGGAAAGGGCAGTTCAGGGGGCCATATGCATATGTATAATGTGTGCCGTGGCCGATAAAATATTCCAAAGCTGCAATTTAATGCATATTTCACTCGTCTATGCAAAGTGCTATTAAAATCAGCGACTGCTCGGTAATTGCGGGTTTGATTAGCGTTTCCATCAGCCGATTTATGTGCACACATCAATTGCTTTCAAGCGCTGCTCTGTGAATAGTTGAACAGACGATTTGAGATACGAGCTTAAGCTCGGGCGGGCATATTAAAGTGAGGCATCAATGAAATGAGTAGGGACTAGGGTTTTCAGTAATCAACTATATAATGTGCTCTATATACATCTGCATAACTTAATTCTGATTTTGAAATCACATGACCATTACGCAATGAAAGTCTCGCCTAGACCTAGAGTAGAATATTTAGGGTCTTTAATTGGTAAGCCAGAAAATCGGAAATGTCATTGTTTATAATTGGGAATCTGCAGAGAATTAGCATACGTAGATGCAGCCGCTTGGAAGGCGCTCGTGAAGGCCTATTTAAAGCTATAAATATTGATTCAAGAATATATTAAGTTTTCATGAACTTAATAAATTGCTGTGGTATAAAATGTATTACATAATCTGTATATTATTTATAGACTTTGTCAGCTTCCATGCCACCTCTTATATTATTTTTAGCTACAATAGTTTAGAATTTTTAATGCCCTGTCTCACACATGGCGTATGACAATGTTTTTTCCGTAAATGTTTAATGCTTGTATAATAATATGAATAATTGAAGAGTGCAGAGGATATGCGTATACTTGATATGGCTGAACCTAAACATGATTTCAGCCGTGTCATTTACACTTGCAAATGTTTCAAATAATTATTGTTTATTTTGTGTGGGTCTGTGGTTAATTAAATAAAACAGAGACACGCCCGCTGCACACGCCCAGAATTCATCAAAATTCGTGCTGGCAACATGGCGTATGCGCAATGCTAATCATGTAAAGAGAATTTATTTATTTATTGTCATATTCCTCGCAGAGTTTTCCAATAAAACGTGACAGGTAAAGTGAATGGCTTAAAATAAAATAAAATAACAATAAAAATGAAATGCAGGATCAGAAACTCACCATTGCAAACAGTTTTCCCGTTCGGCCAGCGCCAATTTAACAATATCCGCAAACACTGGAATAACAACCCAATCATTGGGCTTGCCACAAATAGTTGGGGCTGCTGCTGTTGTTGTTGTTGTTGTAGTTATTGGTGTTGCTGTTGGTGTGGCTGTCTCCACGTTGCTGCTGCTGCTGCTGCTGCTGCCAGCCGTGGGCACCTCTAGCGATGCCTTCTCCAATGACGCTGGCATTGCATTGAAACCGGAAATGCCAGTTATGCCAACTGGCTGCCCACTGGCACTTGTCGATGGCTGCTCAACCAAATCTTCCACAGCACCGGATGGCGAGGAGATGGAGGGGTTTATTTTTGTTGTTGTTGTTGCTGTTGTTGGTGGCGGTGCTGCTGCTGCTACTTCCACGGCTGCCGATGATGCTGTTGATGAGTTTTTCGTTATCGATGATGATGATGTCGATGATGCGGCCCTAGGCTGCTTATCAGTCTTTAGACTTTGCTGCTGCTCATTTAGAACGATTGCCTGCTTCTGCCATAAATGCCCGTGTCCTTCGGCATGCCGTTGCATGCAATCCAATTGTTGACATGTCACTTGCAATTTGCTCCACTGTAATAAAATGGAAATACGTACATAAATGAACAGACTTTCAGCGCGCTCTCTATACATGTGAACATGTGTGTGTGTGTGTGTGTGTGTGCTGTGCTTTATCCAAATGGAAAATATCTTTAATTCGTTTTATTTGCGTTATTCGTGCCTTGTTTCGGGGCGCTGTAAAAGTTTATGGTTTTGTTTTTGTGCGCCGCGCTTTATGTCTGTAATTTGCGCTTAAGCTTTCTATCGCATTTTATGGTGCGACATTTGGCTTTAGATAAGATTTTAATTTGGATATTCTTAAATGTGACAATAATTACAACAAATCTAAACTTTAACTTCAGACACACACGCATTCCATTTATATTCTGGGTATTTTTGCTAGACTTTAATATACGAATTAAAGTTTGGGAATAAATTTGTATGCTCTATGCTGACATATTTATGGTTATCGCTATTCTGCATTCCTAGTCATAAACATTTCACTGGCCTGCAGAGAATATGTAAAAATAAAATGAAAATAATGCCATACAATGCCACGCCGTTGCACAAGTTATTCCATAGGTCTCTGAATTTATGCAATTCGGTTTAATTTTCTTTTCTTTTTTTTTGCTTTCGACCATCCATTTTTTCGTGCGTCCTTTGTGCATTGTGCAATTTACTCTTTTCACGCAGACAATTCAAAGCAGGAAAAAATATATATATGTAAAAATAAGGGAAAGAGTGGAAGTTAAATGAAAAGAACTCTCAACCTGAGTTGTGTAATGAATACAATGAAAATGGCATTTAAAGTAGCTAAAGTTGAGGCCCAAAATTATTATTATTTATTTTTTGTTAAGGAGCCTCAGAGTTACGGTGAATCCATTAACTAATTACAAAAAATTGTTATGAAAACTGGCTTCATTTAGCGAACGCCCGGCCGCAATTAAAGCATTTGCGGGCGACATGCCAAGTAAATAGGAGAATAAAATACAAAAAATAGCTAGAGAAATATGTAATTTTGATAAAAATTGTGCCAAAGCAGCGTGGGCGAATGCTTGATGTGGTTACGTGGGCGTGGTCAACAATTTATTCTCTTCATATTTATTTGGCTGTTTGGCTTTTGGGTTTTGGCAGGCCTAAGAACAGCAAATGGAAATTAAAATTTGTAGGGCTAAATTTTGTGGAAAGTGAAGGTGTTGTTCGAAAGGCTCTTAATTATTTTAAGTTGCAAGAGATATCTTAAACAGATCTATACTGGGCAAATCATTTTCAACTTTTTATAATGTTATGAGTCAAGCTGGGAAAACAATAAAACATTTTTATACTAATTCACGAAAGTGAAATGAGTATATTGTGCATGTGCGTCTTATTTAAATAAATAATTCTCGAAAAATACACAAATCTCCATATCATTTGAGCACATCTCGTAGCACAGACACTTCAACATCTCTCATTTATAGAGATATAACACTAAACTAGAAATTGCTGCTAAGCAAATTCTACTTTCAGCTAAACATCTCACAGTGAAAAGTCCACATCCATATAGATTATTTAATGGCTAGCTGTCTGCACTTACCGTTATTTTGAGTCTCGCTATGGCAGGTGATTCGAGTGACTCCAGGATGGCCGTGGCGCTGTTGTAATTGCCCACGAGCAGGCAGTACTGGGCAACGCCGCTCCAGAGCTCAACCGTTCGGCTGCGGTCCTCAATTCCGGTGCACTGTAAATCAAGCTGTTAGATCTTGTTTGTTTGCTTGGGATAGTTTGGGAGGCTCGGACTGGACTTGGACTGGATGGCAGCACAATGGCAACTCGGCAGACCACGTGACTTCACTAAAACTTTAACGAGTCACTCACACGGCCAACTGACAAACTGTCGATGGCCAAGTTACGAGCGGCATAAATTATATGCCAGCCTCGACCTGCTCATCTATGCACACAGAGGCGACTCATGCCTGGGTCCATCAGGGAGACACGTATGTGTGTAGCTGTGCATATTTGACAGCGCATGGGATTTTAATTCAATCCGTAGGGTCGACGGCAGCTACCCGAACACCCTCCACATTCGTTACGAATATGTTAAGTTGGGCGCGTGACAAGCGGCAGCGGGACATGGCTATAAGCTGGCGTATACCTCACCTGCAGTATCTCGTTGCAGACAAACAGGCGCAGACGTGCCGACCAGTCCAGATACGTTTCCAGATTACAGGTCTTCTTCGGGTCCTGGACACCCGGTGGTCCGCCCGACGAGATAGGTTGGTCCCATTTTTTCTGTGCATAAGCGATTTGCTGTGTTAATGAGGCTAGTTACGGAAGGTGTGTGTGGTCCTGTGTGTGTGTGTGTGTGCGTGATTATGCTAATGTAAGTATGTTAGGAGAGTGGGCTAAGCTAGTTAGCTTTGGGAATTTGAGTGCTTGGGGGCTTGAGAGCACCCTGACACGAGGCATAATCTTCTGTATTATTTAATATAATATCTGCGTGAATAATTGTATGACTTATTGACTAGCATTACTGATGAATTGATGGAATGATAAC